CTTGGTATTCAATGGTGTTACCATCACTGAATCCCCCACTATCAACACCCTTGGGATTATCATTTACCAGATACTCAACTGGACTCACCACGTAAACAGAGTGGCTGCAAGAGCAGGTCAGAAGCTGGGAATACTGCAGCAAGTAACTCACCTCCTGACTCCTCAAGGCCTGTCCACCATCTACAAGGCACAAGTCGGGAGTGTGGTGGAATACTCCCCACTTGCCTGGATGAGTGCAGCCCCAACAACACTCAAGAAGCTTGACACCATCCAGGACAAAGCAGCCCGCTTGATTGGCACTACATCCACAAGTATCCACTCCCTCCACCATTGACACTCAGTAGCAGCAGTGTGTACTATCTACAAGATGCACGGCAGAAATTCACCAAAGATCCTCGGCCTACACCTTCCAAACCCATGACCACTTCCATCTAGAAGGACAAGGGCATCAGACATATGAGAATACCACCACTTTCAAGTTTCCCTCCAAGCCACTCACTATCCTGACTTGGAAATATATTGCTGTTCCTGCACTGTCGCTGGGTCAGAATCCTGGAATTCCCTCCCTAATAATATTGTGGGTCAACCCACAGCTGGTGAACTGCAGAGTTCAAGAAGGTAGCCTGCTGCAACGTTCTCAAGGGCCACTAGTGACAGGCAATAAATACTGGCCAGCCAGCAACGCCCACATCCCACAAATGAATAAAGAAAAGAAAATAGATTTTCCTGTCTCGCTTTCTTTGGAGTCTACTATGAAATAACTGTGATTGGATGTTTCTGGATTAAAGATAGCCTTCAGAGGTAACTGGAGGAGTTGGTGAGAGGTTACACAGTTTTCAAGCATTTTATCTTTATCTCTTACTGCTTCCCTCCACAGATATCCCTGCTTATTTGTTTTGTGTTAATGTTTGGAAATGCCATGCTGTTATGCTCCTATTACGCTTCATCTCTGGCAGTCATTTGGGTAAGTACGTTCTATCTAGCACAGCTATAACATTTAGCCAGAACATTCAAGCTCTCTTTCTTTCTATTTCTATTTCTATATTCTTATCCTAGTCTTTCTCTCTACATTTTCTTGTAAATTATTTTGCTTTCTGTCTCATGTTCTGGCTCTCTATCTCACTTCCTGCAAACAGAACTTGATTTATTGCTGCAGTAGCATAAAAACATTGCTCTGATTTTCTGTGTTGGGTGGAAAATTACTGTCACACTCAGAAGAACACATTCAGGATGTGGATGTAAATCCAGTTTTGTACACCTCTGCAATAATGACCCCAGCTCTCCAGCATTCTGCTCTGTTATGGCCCACAGGTGTATACTCTGCCGTGCCCCTCCTGTGTCTATGCCATATTTGCCCCATTTCATCTCTCTGTTCTTTGAGTAATGAATGCTCCCACAGCTTGTGAACTAACACATCTCTCGTTACTAGCTTGAGGATGGTGACTGGCCCACGGTGTATAATGCAGTCCTCTGCAGAGCAAACATCAATGTACTTGTGATGTAGTACTAGGCAGCCACCTGTCTCGAGACAATAGACTGCAGCTGTGGTGTTTGTCACTTCTGGATTGTGGGATGTTACCCAATTTTCATACTCTGTTTAGTATACCTAATGCTGAGGATATGTCAAGCAACCAGGATTTGCTGCATTAACCGGAATTGCTTGATTTACTCAGCAAGTCAAGCAGCACGTATGGCGGAAGAAGTAGAATTAACATCTCTGGTTAATAACCCTTTGTCGAAACTCATTTTAGATTGATCACTTGGCTGAATCTCCAAATTCAAACCTCCAGTCAAGTTCAGGAAGTAGACTGGTAACAGTGACTCTACCATCACAGTGTGTAGGTATTCGTAGGCCATGCTTCACCTAGCACAATTCAAAAATAAAAACAGTTGACTCTAACTTAAGCTTTGGTCACTCTCTCATCATTCTTGCTTCATTTGCACATTATTTTAAATCTATGCCCCCTCGTTTTTTTTTTTTTTTTGTAAACTTTAACAGCTTCTCCCTATCTGCCCGATCTAGCCCACATAAATTTGAAAACCTCTGTCAAATGTCACCCAGCCTTCTTTTGAAGGAGAACAGTCTCAATTTTTCAATCTGTACTCATAATTGAAGTGTCTCATTACTGGAACCATTCGTGTAAATTGCTTCTGTACTGTCTCCAACACATTCACATCTTTTCTATACTGTGGCACCTAGTACACAGCAGTCCAGCTGAGGTCTAACAAGTGTCTTTTTCAAGTTCAACAGTACTTCTTTGCTCTTGTACTCTATGCCCTTATTAATAAAAGAGAACACTGTATTCTTTACTAACTGGTTTCTCCACCTATCCTGCTTCCTTCAATGATAATGCACAAATGGTTATCCTGCATGATTTCATGACTTTGTTTTTTTTATTCATTCATGGGAAGAGGGCGTCGCTGACCAGGCAGCATTTAGTGCCCATCCTTAATTGCCGAGAGGGCAGTTTAGAGTCAACCACATTGCTGGGGGTCTAGAGTCACATGTAGCCCAGACCAGGTGAGGATGGCAGTTCCTTCCCTAAAGGATATTAGTGAACCAGATGGGTTTTCCCGACAGTCAACAATGGGTTTATGGTCATCATTAGATTCTTAATTTCAGATATTTTTATTGAATTCAAATTCCACCATCTGCCATGGCAGGATTCGAACCTGGGTCCCCAGAACATTATCTGGGTCTCTAGATTAACAGTCCAGCGATAATACCACCAGGTCATTGCCTCCCTTACTACTTTGACATGGCGGCAGGTTGAAAATAATGTTTGGAAAAGGGAATCCACATCAGAGCAGGCTGGGTCTTTGGGAATAACTTTTTTTATGCTCCATGGTGAGTGCGATCATTTTGCCATTGACTGTGAAGTCTGGGCCATAAGGAGTCTTGACAGTTTTGAGGTGTTAGAAAGAATCAGTTAAGAGTGGGAAATGGCAAAGTGCAAACATGTTAGATTTAGCGTTGTTTTATAATGCTGCCCTCCTGGAAATAAAATTCTGTTTGATATTCTGTTATGGTTAGCCTGTGATAATCATCCCTAACAATTATTTTTTCCTACCCCTCAGGGATTGGTTGCTTTTAGATCACGTTTTTGTGCATATTGGCCACGTTCCATTGCATATTCATGGGTAAGTTGCATTTTCTACAGCACACATGATATAATCTTTTTAAATGAATTAATCTCTAGTAGCATAATGTGCAATTCCCCAGATTCTGACTTCAGAATGTAAAAATATGGGCATGTATATTTAATCCCCGTTTTCCTAGAATTTAGAAGCAACACCACTCCTGAGATTGGCACCAGCTTATTTCAAATATACTAGTGGTAACGTGAGCTTGATTGTTTAAAATAGCCCAGTGATGGTCACAATAACAACATTTCACTTTGTGGTGCGAACGATCAATGTCACTGAAACAAATTACATAAATCCTGTATAAAAGGGCGTATATAAAAATCACTTACTGATGGGTTCAAAATAATTTGCAAGGTAAAATTTTTTACAAGAAGCATTTTCAATCCATTGGCTCTCAAATTATGATTTGTATAGACTTCAATGTACCGAGTCTGTTTACAACTGTCCTTTTGGATGAGAGATCAGTTTTGTGTGGATATTTCATGTTGCAACTCTCTCTTTCATGTCTATTTAGCTTTTTGAGAAATGATGGTAGAAGTTAGTTACCCGTTCGTGTTCCTGTTTTAGGCAGTGTAACTGAGCTAACAGTGGGCACTTAAAAGGTGTATACATGGGCATGCAAGATGCATTTTCATGCATGATTCTTGTGAAGGAATGCAAGGATGTAATAAAGGGATTCTTCCAGGTGCAGGGAACCATGCAATTTCAGCCATACGTGATAATTTATTTAAGCTACTTAACAGTGTAAAGGACAACTCTGTGTAATAATTAAATACATAATACAGTGCTTTATTGGAAAAAGTGGGTATCTTGGTTAATCTGTTACAATGAGTAAATTAATTCTCTCTCTCGGACTTCCTGAGTTTGGGGTAATGGAGTTGATACACGTGCCCTGATTATCATTTATCATTATCTCTCTTGGTGCTGCAGTCTGCACTGTACAGTGCCAGAATTTATTGCTCCCCCACGCATGCTATCTGAACAATAGAGAATCTAGTGTGCTCTGTCTCACTATGAACCTTTTGAGTCATTCTTGAATTGGTTGCATGGAATTGATAATGGTGTTTCATGTCCCTTTTAAGCATGCAGCAAATCTTTGAGCCCTATTTCATGTTCCCAAATGACCAAGCTCTGAACAAGAAGCATTTCTAATGCAGGATTGCAGCCAAACTACTGAATAATGCTGCCTCTATAAATTACAACAGTACTGATGGTTATAAAATCAGGCAGGCATAAATGGCACTCTGCCATACTTCATTCAAGCTTCCACCCATTGGGAAATCCAAGCTGCAAAGTGTAGGGCAGTCCTTTGTACTGTTGACTGGACTGTCATGCATATATTTATTTGCAGTATTTTTATCCCTTTGTTCTATGCTGTCTGGGAAAAATTAATCAAATCAATCTTCACATCAACACAATCTTGAATGAATTTTAAAATTGCACATCTTCCAATGTTCCTGTGGAAGAGAAATGACACTGGTACACAGCTCCTCACCTCCATTGAAGGAAGTAAATGAGCAGGACAAGATGTTTGAGGGGGACATTTTACAGGAGTACCTAATGGGGCAACAGGTTTTGGTCAGAAAAATTTCATCGCTGGGCTAATGGAGGACTATAACATGCTGGTCTCAATAAATTTATTTTCAAAGAAAGACTCTTTGTCTTTTTGATAAAGGGACCACTGATGGAAGCAGAATTAAGAATTGTTTAAATCTCATTTTTTGTTTTGGTTTAATTTTGCATCTTGAGAACTTGTGATGCTGTTATACTTTTGAAAAATTTTGTTATAATTTATGAGAAAATAGCTAGTTTGTTTCCATTAGTTCTTTGATCTTTCATTCTGTGATTATGCCTGTCTAATAGAATGAAACAGGAACTTATGATCCAACTGAGGTTTTCACATGTTTGTTTATTCTATAAAATGCAATGCTGTTCTACAAAGATCAGTTGGTACATAAAGAATAAAAAGGCAGTAAACTGACAAATGGTACCATTTAGGAACCAGGAGGATATTTACGTATGGACGCTATGTCCATGGCTGAGGTATTAAATGAATACTTTGCATCTGTTTTTAACAAGGAAGAAAATGCTGCACAGGTCATGATGAAAGAAACGATGGTTAAGATACATCAAAGGTTAAAAATTAATATGGACAAAATATTGGATAGGCTATTTGTACTCCAGGTTTTTAAGGCACCAGGACTGTGATGCATCCAAGAATACAGAGGGAACCAAGGTTGGAAATTGCAGAAGCACTGGCCCTAAATTTCCAGTCGTCTTTAGATTTGAGAGCAATATCAGAAGACTGGACAATTGCAAATATTAGACCCATATTCAGAAAGAGTAGAAAAGTAAACCCAGTACAAACCAGTCAGTTTAAAATGTTGTATTGCAAGGGCAGTGGATGGCAGTATAAAACTTCAAAAGGTCATTGACAAGTAGGCTGATAGATGAAGTTCAGTGTGAAAAAGTGAGGTAATGTCTTTTTCCCTTTTCAGTGTATCTTCAAGAAATATGTGACAATAAATAAATAAATCATTCATTTGCTACGAAGAACACAATAGACGCTTTTTTTTTGAAAGAAATAACAGCTGGTATTTATTCTAAAGGTTGTGTTGGAACTGAGACACCTGTCTGTGTATTATTAAAAATGACAGGACAGGTGAAGAGCACGTTTAATAAAGCAATTTAGCAAGGCTAATCCACCTAGCCTGCACATCTTTGGATTGTGGGAGGAAACCAGAGCACCTGGAGGAAACCCACGCAGAGATGGGGAGAATGCACCTTGTTCGTTTGGGGCATTTAAGCGGCTATTAGATAGGCATATGGATGATAGTGTAAGGTAGCAGTGGAGGTTAGATAGACCTTAGGTTTAGGGTAAAAGTTTGGCACAACATCGTGGGCCGAAGGGCCTGTATTGTGCTGTACTGTTCTATGTCCTAATGTGCAAACTCCACACAGACAGTCACCCGAGGGTGGAATTGAACCCGGGTCCCTGGCGCTGTGAGGCAGCAGTGCTAACCACTGAACCGCCGTGCTGCTAGGAATAATGGATTGGAGAAGTTGGGACTGTTTTCCTTGGAGAGAAAAGTGCAAAAAGGACATTTGATTATATTCAAAATCATGAGCGATCTGAATAGATTAGGCAGGGAGAAACTATTCTCACTTGTAAGTGGATCAAAAATAAAAGGACATAGATTTTAAAATGATTTACAGAAGAAGTAAGTGCAGTTCCACCAAAATGAAACACTTCACATTACACTGCATTAAATTTCAGTGTGAGAAGAAACTTTGTCGTGTAACAACTTGTTCGAGTTTGGAATGCACTGCCAAAAAGTGTGGTGGAAGCAGGGTTAATTGAGGAATTCTTGGGGACATTGAAATAATTGAATTAAAATAATCATGTAGTGTGCAGGGTTGCGGGAAAAGAGTGGGAAACCGGCATCAAGGCAAGATGTTTATCAAGAGACCCAGTACAGACATGTTGGGCTAAAAGGCTGCCTTCTGCACATAATGATTTTATGATTCTGAAGCTTTTAGAAACAATAGTTCGGGACAAAATAAATAGTCACTTATCCAAAAGAAGTTTCATTAAGGAAAGCTGGCGCAGATATTTTAAGAGTAAATCATATTTATCTCATTTACTTTGAGTTTTTTGGTGAGGTGATAGAAAGGGTTGATGATAGTAATGCTGTTGACGTGGTGTACAATGATTTCCAACGGCATGTAATAAAATGACATGTAACAGATTAACGCTGGAGACCGGGTTAGAGCCCATGGATTAAAGAGGACAGTCGCCATAGGGACGTGAAATTGGTGAGCGACAGTAAACAGAGTGTAGTGATTTATGGTGGGTTTATAGTGGAGTTCCCCAGAGCTGGGGTGTTAGGACCCTTGCTTTTCCTGTTAAGAGATAAATAACCTAGACTGTCCCGTCAGGGCACCATTTCAAAGTTTACAAACAATAAAAAGCTTGCAGGTGTTGTGGTCATGAGGAAGATGGTATTAAAAGTCAAAAGGATGTAGACTTGTAAGTGTGAGAAGGTAAATGGCAGATGAAATTTAATGCAGTGTAATGTGTTTCATTTTGGTGGAAATAACACAGAGGCTATATATTTATATATATATTTAGTATGAGGGGTGCATACAGGAGTGGGGGTACCTGGGTGTATATGTGCACAAATCATTGAAGATGGCTGAACAGGTTACAAGAGTGAGTAATGAAGCTTACAGCGTCCTCAGCTTTATTAATAAGGGCATAGAGTACAACAGCAAGGAAGTTATGTTAAAAGCCCTATCAAATAAAATCTTGTTTGGTCTCAACCAGGGAATTGCTTACAGTTTCGGGTACCACATTTTAACAGTGATGTGAAAGTCTTAGAGAGGATCAAAAAAAAATTAATGAGAATGATTTGAGGGATGAAGAACTACAATTATGCAGATAGATGGAGAAGTTGGGAATTATCTTCGTGATGGGGGGGGAAGGATGATGATAGGAGATTTCATAAAATTATTGGACAGTAGATAGGGAGAAACTGTTCCTGCTTGTGGGAGGATATTGAAGCAGAACGCGTATGTATAAGGTAATTTGAACCCAGAAACAATGGCAAAATGAGGGCACATTTCACACAGCAAGTGGTTAGGGTCTGGAATGCACGGTTAGCGTCTACAATGAAGGCAAGTTCAAGTAATCATTTAAGATGGAAATGAAAAGGAAAGACTGTGCTGGACTACAAGCAGTAGGTGACACAGTGACAACAGGTGAATTGTTCCTTTAGAGCCAGTACAGATGATGGGCTTAAAGGCCTTCTGTGCTGTAACCATTCTATGATTGTGTAAACAGTAAACTCTCAATATTTGTATAATTTTGCAGGTGGCTAAAGGAACCGTCTGGCTTCTTGGAACTATAGTGCTCAAATTCGTTGCTTCTAAATTATTAGGAGTTGCAGATGATGTAAGTATCTAAGAGCTGCACATTACCTAGCAATCAGGTGTGGGAGATCTAGGTAGATTCTTGGCTAGCAGAGGTAAGTGCTCTAGAAGCTATAAGTTTTGGTAAATTTTCTGTCAATCGTTCATCCTGTCCATTCAAATGAATAATCCTTTGTCCAAGTGCAGAAAAAATATACAGTGGGCTATTGCCTGTTGAAATGATTTAGCAATATGGAGAACAATAATGGTCTTGTAAACTTCCCAAATGTCTACTGCAAACTGCCCATTCTGGGAATTTTGATGGGTTATTTCACTGATTTTCAAAGGATGTGAAGGGTGAGCTGAGTGTTTTAATTCTCATTGGGAGTGAAAATTGGTGAATATACCCAGGACTCCTGTTAGTAGTCTTTGTCATCAATTATGCCTAGATCACGACTGGCCGCATGTTCATAACCTTTTGTCACATTTTCCAGGCAGTTCTCTTATTGTTTGTAAGTTAGTTTGGATTTACTTAAGAGAAGTCACCTTGTTGCAAAGGTGAACTTGCAGTCATTAATAATGGCTTTCAGACTTGAAGTACACTTTCTTTCAGGTCACTTGATATCTGTATTGTTTTTCTGTTTGTTTCCCATATCGGTTCATTCCAAGTTTTAATCTATGTTGTGGTCAATTTTAAGACTAATGAATTGTTGCCGTGTGCTCATTAATTTCTCTAGCTATATGTTTCCTTCTGCTTCCAGGCGCACATAAGTAATCTACTGAAATCTAAGTTCACCAACTACAAGGATTTTGACACATTGATGTACACATGTGCTGTGGAGTTTGATTTCATGGAAATTGAGGTACTTTTTTAACTATGTAAAATATATTGATGTGAACATTGAGATATTAATCCACAGTGAATAGAGTGGAAACTATGGATCACGTCCATACTCAGCCTGTAGGCTAGTCAGACACTTGCGTAAATGTGGAAATGTCAACTGAAAGAGTGAGGGTGAGGGATACTGGCTTGTTTAGCAAAGCATTCCAAGAAGCTGGTGAAATGATGACTTTTAAGAGGCCCTGTGAGTGGCCTCTTGTACCCACTCTGTCAGCTGTAGTGCCCTCAGGCTAGCAGTCATATGTATCCATTCCCTGTATCACAACTCTCTAAGGTAGTATGCTGGAGATCAAGCCCTGCTATTCCTGCACCTGTCACAAAAATTAAAGATTTTTAACGGTACGCAAAGATTCCCCGACTTAGCTGATTTTAAGACCCAAGTTGACATGTTTCTGACCTAACAAGAATTATGATTTAGAGATAGCAGGAACTGCAGATGCTGGAGAATCTGAGATAACAAGGTGTAGAGCTGGATGAACACAGCAGGCCAAGCAGCATCAGAGGAGCAGGAAAGCTGACGTTTCGGGTCTAGACTCTTCTTCAGAAAATAGCTGACGTTTCGGGCCTAGACCCTTCTTCAGAAAGAATTATGATTTATTACAAGTAGTCACTCTGGTTATTAACCATCAGTAATAACTCCACTAATTAAAAGTCTAATCCCTAACGCGTACACAGACATAGGCAGAAAAAAGCCATGTATTATGGATGAAAAGAAAATGGAGACAGCAGTGTAGTGTTTGTTGCTCACAGAATCTGTTGAGATGGTTCTAGTGCTGATCAGAATACTGCTTTTTAGTCTTGCTTTTTCTAGTTTGCAAGTTACTGGTATAAAAGGTGACTTATCAATTAAAAGTTGCAGTGTAAAACAGCTGCTGAAGGAAACTGGTTTTCATCAGGCTTAACGTGCCTTTTACTGCAGAGAACAGAGATAGCTCCTAAGCTGGTGGTGGCTGAGGCTTCTTCCTGTATTATCTTCACAGCTGTAAGCTGCTCAGCTGTCTGAGAACCATTCATATAATTAATGGGAGGCAGAAGACCTTTTGTATTGGTTCGTGGATTGGTGACCAGTTACCAGTCTGCTACTTATTGCCAACCAAAGCTCCACTTTTGTACATCGCCTGTCAGCTCCAGTTTGTCTGGAACCAATACTGTGGCCCACAGCTATGCAAACAGTGTTCACAATGAGTATTGAGCTACATGCTTTCAAATCATGCAGCAAACCTTGCAATTCCTGGTTTTAAAGACATGATATTTACTTTATCAGCAGCTCTGTCAGGCTAAGAGCCCTGTGTATCAACTGTCCATAGTAGTGATGTCAGGCTAAGAGGCAAGGAATCCAGTACACATTGCTGTGTACACATTTTTACTTTGCTGTCAGGTTAGGAGGGCAATACACCCACTTTATGGAGCAATGTCATCAGGCGAAGCAGATTGATCGGTGGAATAACTTATCGGTCTGAAGAAAAATACCATAAAGTATATTAAACAAGTTTAAATCTCTGCAGATTTTTGGCCAATGTCATTAAGGAAACTGCTTTTTTAAAAAAAAAAGGTGTTTTTGTGAAATGCTCAACGCATTGGTTTGGATTCCACTTTCTATAGGGGATTAGTCTATTGAATTTACAGGGAGGGTGGTTTCACTCAACTGTGTATATTCAGTCTCCATTTATTTTATTGATGCAAAGGGTCATCACTCAAGTCAGCATGTAACTTTTATATCCACTCTGTCAATGAATATGTTCAAGACTGAGATTGATATACATATGGCTACTAAGGTAATCGAGAGGTATGAGTCTCCATGATCCTATTAAATGGCAGAGGAGGTTCAAGGAGCTGCATAGCCAATTCCTGCTCAATCACATGTTGTTTCATTAGGTTAACAAGGCAGTTGAGGGAGAGAAAACTTTGTGCTTCCCTTTCATTTTCTTTGGCACTTAGTCTATCTATGAGTAAATAAAGGAATCTAAACACTTGTCATGTACTAATAGACTTGCGGGTGAAGAGAAATAAGTAAGTGATAGAAAGTCTGGTGTTCTTCCTTGGTGCGTGGGCCCAAGTTGAGCCGATCATCTGAAAAGGGTTTTTTACTGGATAGTTTCTCTCTGAATAAATTGGAGAATATTCTTTGGAGTTCAGAAAAATGAAAGGTGATTTTCCGTTTTATTTAAATATTCTGAATGAGTTTAACAAAGTAGATACTGAAATATTGTTTACTGCTGGCTTGGAATCTAGAACATGTAGGCACAATCTCTGAATAATGACCTTTTAGTACTGAGATGAGAAATTTCTTTGCTCAGATTTGGTGAACCTTTTGGAATTGTATATTCTAGAGGGTGATGGATACTCAATCATTGAATATATTCAAGACAGAAGTTTTTTTTTGTCTTGGGAAAGGATAGGGGAAGTGGGCAAGAAAGTGGAGTTCAAGCAAAAAACTGCCATGATCTGTATATGGCAAAGTGGGCTCAAGGGAACGGATGGTGTACTAATTTTCTTCACCTTCTTCATCCTATCTGCCTATCTTCCTGTAAATTCTACAGAGTGTAGCTGATGATTCTCTTGTCTGCACTTCCTTGCCTTAGGGGTTTCTTGGAGTTCCTGAGAACATTGCCCATTATGACTTCATAATCCCTCAATGGAACTGCAGCTGACAAAGTTGACACTCTATTGATGTCTTTCAAAATGCCCCTCAACTTGCCAGGATTAAGTTCATTGACCCCAGAGGGAACAATTAGGACAGCAAGAAGTAACACCAGATAAAGAAAGTGACTCTGAGAGAATACCAAATCGAGTTAAGGAAATGAAAGATTCACATGCATTTCTTGGATTCTGATAGTTCTTTGGGTACAAGGTACATTTATTGTGTGAAGGAATATCAATCATTTTAGAACCATAGCTTAGATCTCAGAAGCTTGCACCCAATAGGCAATGTAGAAAACCCAACAATGAACAGCTATTTAAGTGTATGGAGTGGGTATATTCTCATACCAGCAATTTGGCTATACAGAGGTGCCTGGAAATTGAGTAATAATTACATGTTGAAACTCGGGCTCCTATTCCACTTATTTAGTTGTGATTTGGAATGTTTGGGTATTGCTATTTCAGTTTGGCTGGATTGTTTCTCCTTTTTGCATGATGGCTTCTCTGCTTGTTCTGAAAATTGATTGTTGTGCAACATGAGACTTGAGTACCTCATGTGATACTCTAAGTTAAGAAGACTTTAAGGGGTTCCTGTGCCTCCCAGCTTGAGTGATGGGCCTAAACTAATGTGTATGATTGATTCTCCTGAAACTGTGATCGAGCTCTAATCGGTAAGCCCACCCAGGCTTTCTGAGTAATTGAATGACCTAACGTTTTCAAGTTGTTAATTTATATTCTGACTATGATACCTGAAATAGTCTCAAATGTAATTGGGTTTAAAAGTCCATTTACAATATTTGCCCTGGTTTTTAATCTTTTTTGTGTGAGTTGAGAAGGACCTGTGATGTAAAAGTCTCAGGTTAATTCTGTAAGTCTGATTTGCTGCTGCAGCACTGGCTCCTGAACTTATCCTGGCTTTTCATAACTGGTTTCAGTTAATTTAGCAGAAAGTAGTGGTTGTTGTTAATCTGTCTTTTATTTCTTGCTTTTAGACTCCTCTGAGGTACACGAAAACCTTATTACTTCCAGTGACTGCCTGCATTTTTTCTGTTATAGTTTCAAGGGTAAGTTCTATCTTTTTTTTATATTTTGGTTGATTTGAGAATTACAACTATATAACTAGAATTATTCCTGATCTAGTTTCTTTTAAATCTTTAACAATTATTTGTCTAACCCAATTTAAATATTATGGGCAACACAGTCAAGGACATGACATCAGGTAACTCATTACTCCTCCCCATTGCCTGATTGGAATTGGAGCATCAATGAGCAGCCTACTATCCCAGGATATTAACAGACACAGTACAGATTATTGAAGGTTATCAATAACTGATCAATGTTGAACTGCAGAAATCATTTTCACGTGATGATCAATGTCAAACTGAGGACAACAGTTCACTGTTTCAACAAATGTCTTTTTTTTAATGCAGTTACACACAGAAATATTCAATAAGTGCAATATCACTTGCTAAATCTCATACACTAATTTATATTAACTGCAGCACAAAAGCAGAATGGGTTGGGGCCATTGTGGTGTTTTTATTTGAATCATCCATCAGCCTTCATTCTGAACTGTACCTTCAATCCTGTTCTCCGATCAACAGTTTTTGTTATACTTTTTTGTACTCAGGGGAAATTCTTTTTCATCATTGGTCAGTTTTATTTCACTTTTCTGAGACTAGCAAACATTCCTTTCCTATCCCGATGGATGTACCCTCGCAACACTGGAACTGCGTAACAAGTGACGGTTTGCATAATGAATTGAATTTCATCTATTTTTGTTTCCTTTTCTGTTCATAAAAGAGTAATACTGACCACAGTCCCCTGCAGCACTGACAAACTTTCCTTCATTAGACCGAATAGATTGATGGTATCTTCCCATGAGAAGTTTTTACCTAACCAAAGAGGGCCAACATGAATTTTTAGAGAAAAGAAAAACCAAAAGAACTGCAGATGCTGTAAATCAAGAACAAAAACAAAGTTGCTGGAAAAGCTCAGCAGGTCTGGCAGCATCTGTGAAGGAGAAAACAGAATTAATGTTTCCTCGAACTGAGGAAGGGTCACCGGACCCGAAATCAATCTTTAGAAGGTAGCTTATGCTTAACCAATCTTATGGAAGTGTTGAAGAAGTGAGTAATGGACAGAGAAATGCCAATGGAAATTATTTATACGGACTTTAAGAAGTTACTTCATATGGTCTCCCATAAGAGACTGCTAGCTAAGGTTGAAGTTCATAGAATTAAAGATCTACTTGGGAATTTGGCTGCGTACCAAGTGGTCAAGTCAGTGTGATGGTAATGAGTTACTTAAATTAGCAGTACATAACTCGTGATGTCATACATTCATCTGTGTTTGAATCCGAAGTGATTTGTTATTAGTTTAGATTATTGGGTATATCCAAGACTCTTGGTAGTTTAGAACTTGAGTATTGCTGAAAAAAAGAAATGTGCTGTTGAAGCCTTTCATCTTGCACTCTTTAGGGCAGGACTGCAAAAGTACCAAATCACAAAGGGAAGAACCATTTGTACTGGATAAGAAGAGGGTGCTGATTAGTTGACAGGTAAACTCTGGTAGAGGTACTGCCATGGAGAATGCACCAGGGAGCAGATAACTGCTTTGAAAACTTGGCAGTTAACTATATAAGGATGTGTGTAATGGTCTCAAATTGAAATAAACACTGTACAAATTTGCAAAGATTAGTGGTAAGTTAAGAGATTGGCAAAGAATGACTAAAATGATAGAGGCAGACAGCAGATTATGAAAGAAAGCTAGTAATATAAAAACAGATGGTAAGAATTTCTAAAAGTATTTGAACAGGATGCTGGTGTTGGTCTTCTAGAAAGAGAGCATGAGGAGTTAGATAATGGAAAAAGGAAATGACAGAGGCTTATTTTGCCTGCCTTTGTGGTAGAAGGATTCAGGAAGTCAAAGTCAAGAAGTGATGGGTAGGGATGAACTTAAAACTATACCAACACCAGGAAAAACATGCTAGTGAAACAATTGAGCCTGAAGGTTGATAAGTCCCCAAGATAGCCTGCAGTGAAGAGTCATAAAATAAGTCAAGTACATTCAGGCCTGGTAAATGGATAGAAAAAGCTTTTAGAAGGATATGGGCCAATCGCAGGTAAATGGGTCGAGTTCAGTTTAGAAACCAGGTCTGTTTCCATGCTGCATGACTCTTAAGTGGCAGTACAGATAGTAGATGCATTGCTTATAATCTTGTAAAGTTCTTTAGATTATGGAAGGGCCCTAGCAGATTGGAAAATAATAAATGATCAAGCAGAGTCAACATGGTTTTGTGAAAAAAAAATTGTCTTCTAACTAATCAATTGAGATTTTTGGCAAAGTAAGATCCTCACTGGATAGAGGGGCTTCAGTAGAAGTGGTCTACTTGGGTTTTTGCAAAAGGCATTTGATATGGTTGCTGCCCAAGATACAGGCATGTGATTTAGGTGTAACAAACTTACGTGACAAAATAATTGGTTGGCTGACAGAAAGTAGACAGTGGGAACAAATCAGGCTCTTTCAAGTTGATAAGCTGTAGCTAGTGGAATACCACAGGGATCAGTGCTGGATCCTCAGCCATTTCCAATCTACATCGATGTTTTGGATGAAAGGATCAAATATATGGTCGCTAAATTTGTCAATGACAGCAAGTTGGATATAATAGTAAGTTGTCTACAAAGGAATATAGACAGATAAATGAGTGCCAAAAATTGGCAGATAGAGTATAATGGGATAAAAGTGAACTTATCCATTTTGAGAGGAAGAATAGAAAAGCAACATATAGTTAAATGGAGAGAGGTTACAGGATTCTGTGGGATTTAGGGGTCCTGGTCACTGTTTTCTCTAAGCTGTGTGGTACGCTACCACTAAGCACATGCCTCAGACAATGGGCTGATCTTACGAAGAAAGGATGGGTGGATTTAGCTCATATATGTTGGGGTTTAGAAATGAGAGGCAATGTTATTGAAGCTTATAAAATCTTGAGGGTACCATGTAGGATGGAACCAGACAATTTCTCCTTGTGGGAGAGACTAAAACAGGTGGACAATTTAAGAATAATAGTCCCTTTTAATACAGAGATGAGGAGAATTATTTTCTTGTAAAGCATTGTAAAAGTGTGAATATTTCTTCCTCAGGAGGCATGGAGGCTGGGTCTTTAAATTTATTCATGGCTGAGTTAGATTTTTGATGGACAAGTGTGTCAGTTGTTATGGAATACAGACAGGAAATTGTAGCTGAGACCACAACAGGAATGGGTCTTATTAAATGATGGAGCAGGTTCGAAAGGAGAAATGGCCTGTTCCTGTTCCTATATTTAAATTCAAGCCACACAAGTGGACTTTGGCCAAGGCATTGCCATAGGACATGCACCAAGGAATGACTGTGTCCCCCACTCTTTTTGATTGAAAAATCTGCAATATATGGACATGACCTTTCTGTTTACCAAGGACGGGGCCTTGCATGTGAAAGTATATAACTTTTGGCACAGTAAGTTCACCACATTGTAGATGCATTTGATCATCTTAAATTGGTCATTTGTGTAATTCAAGATTATTTAGTAAGTGTTGTCTAATCATAGAATCACATTTTAATGTTGAGCGCTGTCTTCTGTGTGCGGCAAGCATTAGCTGCACAAGTACGGTTAGTACGCTGCCTATTATTGCTGTTTAATAAAATCCACCAATCTTTGGTATATATGGCCTACATATTTGGCATCACACCAGTATAGAAATTCATATACCACCTGCTGATTGTTAGACAGATGTTCTTTTTGGCTTGATGACAGAATCTTGTTGATTGGAGAATACTACATGTTTCTGTTGCAGTCTGAAACTTCTGTGGTTGTTTTGCTAATGCTTTCAAGCTGCTACTATGCAGCAACAACATATGGTATTTTCCACTAATAGGATGCTGCTATCAAGCTTAAAATGTTTCCTGCCTATTATACTGAATAGTAATATGTTCTATGAATTTTGGGACCAATTCAGTTCTAGGTATGTACACAAAACTGCCAGATTATATTAAGTAGCACACCCCTTCAGCTGTTCACAGCAGGTACTGTACTGACCGTACCCAACTAGCCCAAGCTTGCTCATCTCCATACTGCCTGATCTTAGATTTGATTCTGAGATTGGACAGCAATTACTCAACAATTTTTTGTGTTAAGAGATTACACCAGGAACCAATTTCAGATTATCAGTTAAGCCCACAGTATGACTCAATTGCATTAAAAACTCTGTACGTTCATATGTGGGGCCCTGTCTTTTGCAAACAATGCTTGTCCATGCATTGCATCCTCTTCAGCCTTGGGAACACCATTCCCTGGTGCATTCTTCATGGCAATGACTAATCAGAGTCAAATTGCCTTGTTTGGATTTAAACAAAACTGCAAGTAGTTTTACAGTTCACTGTTCCCTGATGCATCCTCCGTGGCATTGCTTCTACCAATCAGTACCACCTTCTCTTGCAGTATAAGTTGTTGTTGTTGTTATCTTTGAGATTTTGTATTATTGTGATTCTGTTGTGATTAGGCAAAACAATAACATTCAACAGTTTGGCTATTGCTGGGAGAAAAAGACAGTCTGTTAATGGCACAAAGATTGGCAATATTGTAAGTAGAGGAGATAGAACCATAAAATTATAAAAAGATATCACAGCTTAAGTGAAATAAACCAAGTTAGCAAATGGATTTCAAAGTTGGCAATTCTAGAAATATAGGTAAAGCATGTCTTTAATGATACCATAAATCATTTAAAAATAATAGGAAAAATAGTCTGAAGTATGGAAGTACTTTATGATAAGGAAATGTCTCATTATCTAGGAATAGGAGCTAGCTATTCAGACCCTCAAACCTGCTCTGCTACTCATTGAGATCATGGCTGACCTGTAACCTAACGCCATTAACCCAGAGATAGTAGGAACTGCTGATGCTGGAGTCTGAGACAACAAGGTGTGAAGCTGGAGGAACATAGCAGGCCAGGCAGCATCAGAGGAGCAGGAAAGCTGACGATTCGGGTCTGGACCCTTCTTCAGAAAATCCATTAACCCATCTTGGTCT